TGCGGAGAAAAAGAAGCAAAATAATGTTGAAGATATTTAATATCTATTAAAATAAATTGAAAAACTACTTGCCGAAATATCATTGCCAGGGACTTGAAGAAAGGGATTTCTAGCAGGCACCTCCTGCATGGGATTTCTGTTTGCCTACTTTAGGTGCTTTATTCCACAGACAAAAGCATCAGCTGAAAACATAAAAAAGGGACACTATGCAGAGAAACAGAAGCAAAATAATGTTCAGGATATTTAATATCTATTAAATTAAATTTGAAAAACTACTTGCCAAAATATCATTGCAAGGAAATTGAAGCAAGGGTTTTCTAGCAGGCACCTTCAGCAAGGTATTTCTATATGTCTATTTTAGGTTCTTTATTCCACAGACAAATGCATCAGCTGAAAACATAAAAAGGGACACTGCGGAGAAACAGAAGCAAAATAATGTTGAAGATATTTAATATCTATTAAAATAAATTGAAAAACTACTTGCCGAAATATCATTGCCAGGGACTTGAAGAAAGGGATTTCTAGCAGGCACCTCCTGCATGGGATTTCTGTTTGCCTACTTTAGGTGCTTTATTCCACAGACAAAAGCATCAGCTGAAAACATAAAAAAGGGACACTATGCAGAGAAACAGAAGCAAAATAATGTTCAGGATATTTAATATCTATTAAATTAAATTTGAAAAACTACTTGCCAAAATATCATTGCAAGGAAATTGAAGCAAGGGTTTTCTAGCAGGCACCTTCAGCAAGGTATTTCTATATGTCTATTTTAGATTTTTTATTCCACAGACAAATGCATCAGCTGAAAACATAAAAAGGGACACAATGCAGAGAAACAGAAGCAAAATAATGTAGATATTTAATATCAAATTAAATTTGAAAAACTACTTGCCAAATTAACATTGCCAGGGATTTGAAGCAAGAGATTTCTAGCAGGCACCTCCAGCAAGGTATTTCTATATGTCTATTTTAGGTTCTTTATTCCACAGACAAATGCATCAGCTGAAAACATAAAAAAGGGACACTATGCAGAGAAACAGAAGCAAAATAATGTTCAGGATATTTAATATCTATTTAATTAAATTTGAAAAACTACTTGCCAAAATATCATTGCCAGGGATTTGAAGCAAGAGATTTCTAGCAGGCACCTCCAGCAAGGTATTTCTATATGTCTATTTTAGGTTCTTTATTCCACAGACAAATGCATCAGCTGAAAACATAAAAAGGGACACTGCGGAGAAACAGAAGCAAAATAATGTTGAAGATATTTAATATCTATTAAAATAAATTTAAAAACTACTTGCTGTAATATCATTGCCATGGATTTAAAGCAAGGGATTTCTAGCAGGCACCTCAAGCATGGGATTTCTGTCTACTTTTAGGTGCTTTATTCAAAAGACAAATGCATCAGCTGAAAACATAAAAAGGGACACTATGCAGAGAAACAGAAACAAAACAATGTTCTGGATATTTAATATCTATTAAAATAAATTGAAAAACTACTTGCCGAAATATCATTGCCAGGGACTTGAAGAAAGGGATTTCTAGCAGGCACCTCCTGCATGGGATTTCTGTTTGCCTACTTTAGGTGCTTTATTCCACAGACAAAAGCATCAGCTGAAAACATAAAAAGGGACACTATGCAGAGAAACAGAAGCAAAATAATGTTCAGGATATTTAATATCTATTAAAATAAATTGAAAAACTACTTGCCGAAATATCATTGCCAGGACATGAAGAAAGGGATTTCTAGCAGGCACCTCCTGCATGGGATTTCTGTTTGCCTACTTTAGGTGCTTTATTCCACAGACAAAAGCATCAGCTGAAAACATAAAAAGGGACACTATGCAGAGAAACAGAAGCAAAATAATGTTCAGGATATTTAATATCTATTAAAATAAATTGAAAAACTACTTGCCGAAATATCATTGCCAGGACATGAAGAAAGGGATTTCTAGCAGGCACCTCCTGCATGGGATTTCTGTTTGCCTACTTTAGGTGCTTTATTCCACAGACAAAAGCATCAGCTGAAAACATAAAAAAGGGACACTATGCAGAGAAACAGAAGCAAAATAATGTTCAGGATATTTAATATCTATTAAATTAAATTTGAAAAACTACTTGCCAAAATATCATTGCAAGGAAATTGAAGCAAGGGTTTTCTAGCAGGCACCTTCAGCAAGGTATTTCTATATGTCTATTTTAGATTTTTTATTCCACAGACAAATGCATCAGCTGAAAACATAAAAAGGGACACAATGCAGAGAAACAGAAGCAAAATAATGTAGATATTTAATATCAAATTAAATTTGAAAAACTACTTGCCAAATTAACATTGCCAGGGATTTGAAGCAAGAGATTTCTAGCAGGCACCTCCAGCAAGGTATTTCTATATGTCTATTTTAGGTTCTTTATTCCACAGACAAATGCATCAGCTGAAAACATAAAAAAGGGACACTATGCAGAGAAACAGAAGCAAAATAATGTTCAGGATATTTAATATCTATTAAATTAAATTTGAAAAACTACTTGAAAAAATATCATTGCCAGGGATTTGAAGCAAGAGATTTCTAGCAGGCACCTCCAGCAAGGTATTTCTATATGTCTATTTTAGGTTCTTTATTCCACAGACAAATGCATCAGCTGAAAACATAAAAAGGGACACTGCGGAGAAACAGAAGCAAAATAATGTTGAAGATATTTAATATCTATTAAAATAAATTTAAAAACTACTTGCTGTAATATCATTGCCATGGATTTAAAGCAAGGGATTTCTAGCAGGCACCTCAAGCATGGGATTTCTGTCTACTTTTAGGTGCTTTATTCAAAAGACAAATGCATCAGCTGAAAACATAAAAAGGGACACTATGCAGAGAAACAGAAACAAAACAATGTTCTGGATATTTAATATCTATTAAAATAAATTGAAAAACTACTTGCCGAAATATCATTGCCAGGGACTTGAAGAAAGGGATTTCTAGCAGGCACCTCCTGCATGGGATTTCTGTTTGCCTACTTTAGGTGCTTTATTCCACAGACAAAAGCATCAGCTGAAAACATAAAAAGGGACACTATGCAGAGAAACAGAAGCAAAATAATGTTCAGGATATTTAATATCTATTAAAATAAATTGAAAAACTACTTGCCGAAATATCATTGCCAGGACATGAAGAAAGGGATTTCTAGCAGGCACCTCCTGCATGGGATTTCTGTTTGCCTACTTTAGGTGCTTTATTCCACAGACAAAAGCATCAGCTGAAAACATAAAAAGGGACACTATGCAGAGAAACAGAAGCAAAATAATGTTCAGGATATTTAATATCTATTAAAATAAATTGAAAAACTACTTGCCGAAATATCATTGCCAGGACATGAAGAAAGGGATTTCTAGCAGGCACCTCCTGCATGGGATTTCTGTTTGCCTACTTTAGGTGCTTTATTCCACAGACAAAAGCATCAGCTGAAAACATAAAAAAGGGACACTATGCAGAGAAACAGAAGCAAAATAATGTTCAGGATATTTAATATCTATTAAATTAAATTTGAAAAACTACTTGCCAAAATATCATTGCAAGGAAATTGAAGCAAGGGTTTTCTAGCAGGCACCTTCAGCAAGGTATTTCTATATGTCTATTTTAGATTTTTTATTCCACAGACAAATGCATCAGCTGAAAACATAAAAAGGGACACAATGCAGAGAAACAGAAGCAAAATAATGTAGATATTTAATATCAAATTAAATTTGAAAAACTACTTGCCAAATTAACATTGCCAGGGATTTGAAGCAAGAGATTTCTAGCAGGCACCTCCAGCAAGGTATTTCTATATGTCTATTTTAGGTTCTTTATTCCACAGACAAATGCATCAGCTGAAAACATAAAAAAGGGACACTATGCAGAGAAACAGAAGCAAAATAATGTTCAGGATATTTAATATCTATTAAATTAAATTTGAAAAACTACTTGAAAAAATATCATTGCCAGGGATTTGAAGCAAGAGATTTCTAGCAGGCACCTCCAGCAAGGTATTTCTATATGTCTATTTTAGGTTCTTTATTCCACAGACAAATGCATCAGCTGAAAACATAAAAAGGGACACTGTGGAGAAACAGAAGCAAAATAATGTTGAAGATATTTAATATCTATTAAAATAAATTTAAAAACTACTTGCTGTAATATCATTGCCATGGATTTAAAGCAAGGGATTTCTAGCAGGCACCTCAAGCATGGGATTTCTGTCTACTTTTAGGTGCTTTATTCAAAAGACAAATGCATCAGCTGAAAACATAAAAAGGGACACTATGCAGAGAAACAGAAACAAAACAATGTTCTGGATATTTAATATCTATTAAAATAAATTGAAAAACTACTTGCCGAAATATCATTGCCAGGGACTTGAAGAAAGGGATTTCTAGCAGGCACCTCCTGCATGGGATTTCTGTTTGCCTACTTTAGGTGCTTTATTCCACAGACAAAAGCATCAGCTGAAAACATAAAAAGGGACACTATGCAGAGAAACAGAAGCAAAATAATGTTCAGGATATTTAATATCTATTAAAATAAATTGAAAAACTACTTGCCGAAATATCATTGCCAGGACATGAAGAAAGGGATTTCTAGCAGGCACCTCCTGCATGGGATTTCTGTTTGCCTACTTTAGGTGCTTTATTCCACAGACAAAAGCATCAGCTGAAAACATAAAAAAGGGACACTATGCAGAGAAACAGAAGCAAAATAATGTTCAGGATATTTAATATCTATTAAATTAAATTTGAAAAACTACTTGCCAAAATATCATTGCAAGGAAATTGAAGCAAGGGTTTTCTAGCAGGCACCTTCAGCAAGGTATTTCTATATGTCTATTTTAGGTTCTTTATTCCACAGACAAATGCATCAGCTGAAAACATAAAAAGGGACACTGCGGAGAAACAGAAGCAAAATAATGTTGAAGATATTTAATATCTATTAAAATAAATTGAAAAACTACTTGCCGAAATATCATTGCCAGGGACTTGAAGAAAGGGATTTCTAGCAGGCACCTCCTGCATGGGATTTCTGTTTGCCTACTTTAGGTGCTTTATTCCACAGACAAAAGCATCAGCTGAAAACATAAAAAAGGGACACTATGCAGAGAAACAGAAGCAAAATAATGTTCAGGATATTTAATATCTATTAAATTAAATTTGAAAAACTACTTGCCAAAATATCATTGCAAGGAAATTGAAGCAAGGGTTTTCTAGCAGGCACCTTCAGCAAGGTATTTCTATATGTCTATTTTAGATTTTTTATTCCACAGACAAATGCATCAGCTGAAAACATAAAAAGGGACACTGCGGAGAAACAGAAGCAAAATAATGTTGAAGATATTTAATATCTATTAAAATAAATTTAAAAACTACTTGCTGTAATATCATTGCCATGGATTTAAAGCAAGGGATTTCTAGCAGGCACCTCAAGCATGGGATTTCTGTCTACTTTTAGGTGCTTTATTCAAAAGACAAATGCATCAGCTGAAAACATAAAAAGGGACACTATGCAGAGAAACAGAAACAAAACAATGTTCTGGATATTTAATATCTATTAAAATAAATTGAAAAACTACTTGCCGAAATATCATTGCCAGGGACTTGAAGAAAGGGATTTCTAGCAGGCACCTCCTGCATGGGATTTCTGTTTGCCTACTTTAGGTGCTTTATTCCACAGACAAAAGCATCAGCTGAAAACATAAAAAGGGACACTATGCAGAGAAACAGAAGCAAAATAATGTTCAGGATATTTAATATCTATTAAAATAAATTGAAAAACTACTTGCCGAAATATCATTGCCAGGACATGAAGAAAGGGATTTCTAGCAGGCACCTCCTGCATGGGATTTCTGTTTGCCTACTTTAGGTGCTTTATTCCACAGACAAAAGCATCAGCTGAAAACATAAAAAAGGGACACTATGCAGAGAAACAGAAACAAAATAATGTTCAGGATATTTAATATCTTTTAAATTAAATTTGAAAAACTACTAGCCAAAATATCATTGCAAGGAAATTGAAGCAAGGGTTTTCTAGCAGGCACCTTCAGCAAGGTATTTCTATATGTCTATTTTAGGTTCTTTATTCCACAGACAAATGCATCAGCTGAAAACATAAAAAGGGACACTGCGGAGAAACAGAAGCAAAATAATGTTGAAGATATTTAATATCTATTAAAATAAATTGAAAAACTACTTGCCGAAATATCATTGCCAGGGACTTGAAGAAAGGGATTTCTAGCAGGCACCTCCTGCATGGGATTTCTGTTTGCCTACTTTAGGTTCTTTATTCCACAAACAAAAGCATCAGCTGAAAACATAAAAAAGGGACACTATGCAGAGAAACAGAAGCAAAATAATGTTCAGGATATTTAATATCTATTAAATTAAATTTGAAAAACTACTTGCCAAAATATCATTGCAAGGAAATTGAAGCAAGGGTTTTCTAGCAGGCACCTTCAGCAAGGTATTTCTATATGTCTATTTTAGATTTTTTATTCCACAGACAAATGCATCAGCTGAAAACATAAAAAGGGACACAATGCAGAGAAACAGAAGCAAAATAATGTAGATATTTAATATCAAATTAAATTTGAAAAACTACTTGCCAAATTAACATTGCCAGGGATTTGAAGCAAGAGATTTCTAGCAGGCACCTCCTGCATGGGATTTCTGTTTGCCTACTTTAGGTGCTTTATTCCACAGACAAAAGCATCAGCTGAAAACATAAAAAAGGGACACTATGCAGAGAAACAGAAGCAAAATAATGTTCAGGATATTTAATATCTATTAAATTAAATTTGAAAAACTACTAGCCAAAATATCATTGCAAGGAAATTGAAGCAAGGGTTTTCTAGCAGGCACCTTCAGCAAGGTATTTCTATATGTCTATTTTAGGTTCTTTATTCCACAGACAAATGCATCAGCTGAAAACATAAAAAGGGACACTGCGGAGAAACAGAAGCAAAATAATGTTGAAGATATTTAATATCTATTAAAATAAATTGAAAAACTACTTGCCGAAATATCATTGCCAGGGACTTGAAGAAAGGGATTTCTAGCAGGCACCTCCTGCATGGGATTTCTGTTTGCCTACTTTAGGTTCTTTATTCCACAAACAAAAGCATCAGCTGAAAACATAAAAAAGGGACACTATGCAGAGAAACAGAAGCAAAATAATGTTCAGGATATTTAATATCTATTAAATTAAATTTGAAAAACTACTTGCCAAAATATCATTGCAAGGAAATTGAAGCAAGGGTTTTCTAGCAGGCACCTTCAGCAAGGTATTTCTATATGTCTATTTTAGATTTTTTATTCCACAGACAAATGCATCAGCTGAAAACATAAAAAGGGACACAATGCAGAGAAACAGAAGCAAAATAATGTAGATATTTAATATCAAATTAAATTTGAAAAACTACTTGCCAAATTAACATTGCCAGGGATTTGAAGCAAGAGATTTCTAGCAGGCACCTCCTGCATGGGATTTCTGTTTGCCTACTTTAGGTGCTTTATTCCACAGACAAAAGCATCAGCTGAAAACATAAAAAAGGGACACTATGCAGAGAAACAGAAGCAAAATAATGTTCAGGATATTTAATATCTATTAAATTAAATTTGAAAAACTACTTGCCAAAATATCATTGCAAGGAAATTGAAGCAAGGGTTTTCTAGCAGGCACCTTCAGCAAGGTATTTCTATATGTCTATTTTAGATTTTTTATTCCACAGACAAATGCATCAGCTGAAAACATAAAAAGGGACACAATGCAGAGAAACAGAAGCAAAATAATGTAGATATTTAATATCAAATTAAATTTGAAAAACTACTTGCCAAATTAACATTGCCAGGGATTTGAAGCAAGAGATTTCTAGCAGGCACCTTCAGCAAGGTATTTCTATATGTCTATTTTAGGTTCTTTATTCCACAGACAAATGCATCAGCTGAAAACATAAAAAGGGACACTGCGGAGAAACAGAAGCAAAATAATGTTGAAGATATTTAATATCTATTAAAATAAATTTAAAAACTACTTGCTGTAATATCATTGCCATGGATTTAAAGCAAGGGATTTCTAGCAGGCACCTCAAGCATGGGATTTCTGTCTACTTTTAGGTGCTTTATTCAAAAGACAAATGCATCAGCTGAAAACATAAAAAGGGACACTATGCAGAGAAACAGAAGCAAAACAATGTTCTGGATATTTAATATCTATTAAAATAAATTGAAAAACTACTTGCCGAAATATCATTGCCAGGGACTTGAAGAAAGGGATTTCTAGCAGGCACCTCCTGCATGGGATTTCTGTTTGCCTACTTTAGGTGCTTTATTCCACAGACAAAAGCATCAGCTGAAAACATAAAAAAGGGACACTATGCAGAGAAACAGAAGCAAAATAATGTTCAGGATATTTAATATCTATTAAATTAAATTTGAAAAACTACTTGCCAAAATATCATTGCAAGGAAATTGAAGCAAGGGTTTTCTAGCAGGCACCTCCAGCAAGGTATTTCTATATGTCTATTTTAGGTTCTTTATTCCACAGACAAATGCATCAGCTGAAAACATAAAAAGGGACACTGCGGAGAAACAGAAGCAAAATAATGTTGAAGATATTTAATATCTATTAAAATAAATTGAAAAACTACTTGCCGAAATATCATTGCCAGGGACTTGAAGAAAGGGATTTCTAGCAGGCACCTCCTGCATGGGATTTCTGTTTGCCTACTTTAGGTGCTTTATTCCACAGACAAAAGCATCAGCTGAAAACATAAAAAAGGGACACTATGCAGAGAAACAGAAGCAAAATAATGTTCAGGATATTTAATATCTATTAAATTAAATTTGAAAAACTACTTGCCAAAATATCATTGCAAGGAAATTGAAGCAAGGGTTTTCTAGCAGGCACCTTCAGCAAGGTATTTCTATATGTCTATTTTAGATTTTTTATTCCACAGACAAATGCATCAGCTGAAAACATAAAAAGGGACACAATGCAGAGAAACAGAAGCAAAATAATGTAGATATTTAATATCAAATTAAATTTGAAAAACTACTTGCCAAATTAACATTGCCAGGGATTTGAAGCAAGAGATTTCTAGCAGGCACCTCCAGCAAGGTATTTCTATATGTCTATTTTAGGTTCTTTATTCCACAGACAAATGCATCAGCTGAAAACATAAAAAGGGACACTGCGGAGAAACAGAAGCAAAATAATGTTGAAGATATTTAATATCTATTAAAATAAATTTAAAAACTACTTGCTGTAATATCATTGCCATGGATTTAAAGCAAGGGATTTCTAGCAGGCACCTCAAGCATGGGATTTCTGTCTACTTTTAGGTGCTTTATTCAAAAGACAAATGCATCAGCTGAAAACATAAAAAGGGACACTATGCAGAGAAACAGAAGCAAAACAATGTTCTGGATATTTAATATCTATTAAAATAAATTGAAAAACTACTTGCCGAAATATCATTGCCAGGGACTTGAAGAAAGGGATTTCTAGCAGGCACCTCCTGCATGGGATTTCTGTTTGCCTACTTTAGGTGCTTTATTCCACAGACAAAAGCATCAGCTGAAAACATAAAAAAGGGACACTATGCAGAGAAACAGAAGCAAAATAATGTTCAGGATATTTAATATCTATTAAATTAAATTTGAAAAACTACTTGCCAAAATATCATTGCAAGGAAATTGAAGCAAGGGTTTTCTAGCAGGCACCTTCAGCAAGGTATTTCTATATGTCTATTTTAGATTTTTTATTCCACAGACAAATGCATCAGCTGAAAACATAAAAAGGGACACAATGCAGAGAAACAGAAGCAAAATAATGTAGATATTTAATATCAAATTAAATTTGAAAAACTACTTGCCAAATTAACATTGCCAGGGATTTGAAGCAAGAGATTTCTAGCAGGCACCTTCAGCAAGGTATTTCTATATGTCTATTTTAGGTTCTTTATTCCACAGACAAATGCATCAGCTGAAAACATAAAAAGGGACACTGCGGAGAAACAGAAGCAAAATAATGTTGAAGATATTTAATATCTATTAAAATAAATTTAAAAACTACTTGCTGTAATATCATTGCCATGGATTTAAAGCAAGGGATTTCTAGCAGGCACCTCAAGCATGGGATTTCTGTCTACTTTTAGGTGCTTTATTCAAAAGAAGAATGCATCAGCTGAAAACATAAAAAGGGACACTATGCAGAGAAACAGAAGCAAAACAATGTTCTGGATATTTAATATCTATTAAAATAAATTGAAAAACTACTTGCCGAAATATCATTGCCAGGGACTTGAAGAAAGGGATTTCTAGCAGGCACCTCAAGCATAAGATTTCTGTCTACTTTTAGGTGCTTTATTCAAAAGACAAATGCATCAGCTGAAAACATAAAAAGGGACACTATGCAGAGAAACAGAAGCAAAACAATGTTCTGGATATTTAATATCTATTAAAATAAATTAAAAAACTACTTGCCGAAATATCATTGCCAGGGACTTGAAGAAAGGGATTTCTAGCAGGCACCTCCTGCATGGGATTTCTGTTTGCCTACTTTAGGTGCTTTATTCCACAGACAAAAGCATCAGCTGAAAACATAAAAAAGGGACACTATGCAGAGAAACAGAAGCAAAATAATGTTCAGGATATTTAATATCTATTAAATTAAATTTGAAAAACTACTTGCCAAAATATCATTGCCAGGAAATTGAAGCAAGGGATTTCTAGCAGGCACCTCCAGCAAGGTATTTCTATATGTCTATTTTAGGTTCTTTATTCCACAGACAAATGCATCAGCTGAAAACATAAAAAGGGACACTGCGGAGAAACAGAAGCAAAATAATGTTGAAGATATTTAATATCTATTAAA